ACTACCCAACCCACTTGACAGAAGAGCAGCTGGAGGTACTGGGAGTACTTAAGTCACTTTCCTAAGGCCACTCAGCTAAAAGAGGCCAAGTCTGGTTTCCAATCCAGGTCTACCTGGTTCTAAAACTCACCTTCTCACAGCTGTCTTTGTATTAGATCTCTGCAGCTTTCAGCCCATTCCAAAGCTCACCCTGGGCTGGGGTCCTCTCACCACCCCCAAAGCAAAGCTGGCCGTATATGGGCAACTGACGCAGGATTCTGGGCAGCATCCAATACGTGGACTCTGCCTCTTGAGATGGATGCCTTCAAGTCAGGGTTTGAAGAGCATCTTCCTACAGGAAGCGAGAATTTGGCTCCGGGCATAAGCTTTGACTTTGAGCAGGGACTTTTCAGCCAGACTCCCAGCAAACACACTCTGTCAGACATCAGGGGACACAAGCCAACCCAGTATCAGCTCCCCAGAAAGAGACCTGAGGTGACAGATGGGAGAGGCCCACACAGGGAAGATTCCCAGAGCTCCCTCACTGTCAAGCCAAACTCGCAATGAATGAGAGCCACGTGTCCAGCACTGCGCGGGGGCAGGGGACACAGAGAGAGGTCAGATGCCATCATCTCTGCCCAGTGAGCTGATAACCCGGCCACCCACAGCCACGGTCCTCATCCTATGCACTGCCTTTCTTGGGGACACCTGCACCCACTCAGTAACTCAAGATAGACACAGGGAGTCACTTGGGATTCCCCTTGCCCCCTCTCTCCACACCCCACACTTGCCACTCCCTGAAAGCGACTTCCTCCTAACCTTTCCCAAGGCCCGAGGGCCTCCCCAGCCCCACGGCTGCTGCTGAGCCCCATGGATGGTCTTCTGCCTCCAGCCCACCCCCTTCCCTTTCTCCTTTACGTAGCAGGACAGACCATCCTAACCTGGGAATGGCATTCAGAGGCCTAGGGGGGCCCCCTGCCCTTAGGACGGTGTCAAACTCCCCAGCATGGTTTTCCAGGCCCTGATGCTCAGAGAGCCCCTGTCCCCCTACCTTTTCACTCCTGTTGACACTGACCTCCCTCCCCACCCCCTTTCCCACCTCTGCACCAAGTCTCTCACCCTCAGCACTATTAGCGGTTCAGGACAGATAATTCTTTGCTGTGGGGGCCATCCTGTGCATTGTAGGCGGATCCGCAGCATCCCTGCTCCATATCCACTAGATGCCAGTAACACATCCCCCCAGTTCTGACAACCAAAGGTATTTCAAGACATTACCAAATGTCCCCTGGTGGTGCAAAATGTCCCCAGGTGAGAACCACTGCCCTATGCCTTTGCACACGAAAGGCCTTTCTCCTTTCCTTTCATTGGTACCTGGCTTCCCCATCACCATCATGTTAAAATTTGATTCAGCTGCATCCACTCCCAGAAGTCTCCCTGGCTCAGCCAGGCTGGAATGAGACAGCTTCTCTGGACCTCTCTCACCTCCCTGTGCACATTTCCACCACTGCTCCCATCACACTGCCCTCGACCCATCTGTTGACGTGCTGTCACCCACCTCTGTAAGGCGGGCTCCTCAGAACACCCCATGGGGCATGGAAGCACTGACCCCGTGGACCTGCAGAGGATAACAGAGCAGCATGCTCAGAGACCACCTAGGTAGGAGTGATGGCTTCTGACCAGAGGCAGAAGAGGCTCTATGCAACCGGAACAGAGACATAGAGGGAGAAAAACAGAGTAGGGGCAGCACCTTCCAGGTGAGAGGCCTTGCAGGGAACAGCCTGGACAAAGGTGATGAGGTGTGGACGTCAAGATGAGACTGGGAAATGGCGTGGCTGGAGCCCAGTGAGAGGGCTGTGGGGAAAGGATTTTGGAGCAGAACAAGGCCAGGTCGTGAAGACACTTGGATGTGTTCTGCAGCCCAAGGTGTATTCAGCAGGAGGTGAAATTTAAAAAAAAAGTTTGGGAAATGCCTTGTTAGCAATTAAACAGGTTTCCTTTTTTTTAATACCTTTATTGTGGTATAATTCCTGTACAGTAAACTACACATATTTCAGGTGCATAATTTGATGAATTTTGATAGATGCATACACCAATGAAACCACCACCACAAGGTAAACAGGTTTCTTTATTGCAGGACTTCTCAGAGCCTTTAATGTGCTCACAAGGTGGGTGAATCTTTATAAAGGAGAGATGTGGAGAGCAGTGTTGCCCACAAGTAATTGGCTACAGATGGGTTGTTCTCACAGAGATTGTCAAATGATCAGTGTCCCACAGTCCACCGTTCTGGAAATGCTGCTTGGAACCAAGACACATGAGCTGGACTTTGAGGAGGGGTGCAAGGTAAAGACTATCTGGCTTTGGGGATAGTTGCTCTGAGTTGTTCAAAGGCTTCAGAGCCAGTGCTGGGGCCTCGGCCACTTGGCGCCACTCCCAGCCCCTCGCTCCCCAGCACCTGGGGCATCTGCAGCACTGAGAAGTCAAACCAGCTCCTGAGAGAGTGACTGCAGGAAGGACTGGGGAGGCAGCACAGAATTTATTGTAGGAAAACAGTCGGCCCACGGGACCACTTCGGCCACCTCCCCCAGGCCCCTGGGCCATAACATATGGTGTGGTTTAGATTTTAAAAATTGAGGAGTACTTAAGGAAAAAATGTTGGCAGGCTGTGAGGCACTTGTAAAACCATCTGAGCTGATGGGGAGGCTGGGCCCCATCCCTCCAGGAGATGGAGGCAGAGCTGAGCAGGGGTGGGGAGGTCTGGAGGGCCCAGACTAGGGTCTGCGAACAGAGGCTTCTGGTCGAGGTTGCCTAGTAGGGGAGAGAGGGAAGCGGCCCCCTTCAGCAGCCCTCAGATAGGCCGAAAGAGCCAGCAAGGCCGGGCAAAGAAGCCACCTCATCATCACTGCAGAAGCCAGGCCAGTGCCAAGGCCAGGGCAGCAGGAGGGCAGTGGGGGGACGGGGTAGGTGGGAAACAGTGCACCACAGGGGAGAGGCCAAGGGCTCCGGGATCACCCTGACCTGGGCTCAACTTCCACCTGTGTGACCTGGGACAGCGACAGCCCCTCCTGAGCCTCCCCATCCTCATCTGTAAGATGGAGCCAATAGAATCACATCACACAGTGACAGCAAGACTCAGTGAGATGGTGCCTGCACACAGTGGGTCCTCAGCACGTGTTAGTTGCCATTGTTTGAAGGGAACCCAAGCAGGTGGGCAGCCGGAAAGGGGGCACGAATGAGCGCTACCGGGGCAAAGCTGAGCCACTGCGGAAACCGCCCTCGCCAAGGGCAGCGGAATCGTCTCTTAGCTGCGTGGCCGTGGCAGGTCACTCCCTGCTCTGGGTCCCGGCAGCTGCCCGTAAACAGGGCTCTCTATCACCCCACATCTCACGGAGGCTGGGACCATCACAGATAACGTCTAGCTGGTGTCTGGCTGGCTGCAGGCACTCAGCAGTGAGCTGCTCTCATCCCCCAGAGGATTTACACCCTCAGGCCTGCTATGCCCAGGGTGCTCACCCTGTGTCAAGAGGTGGCCAGGAGACCAAAAATATCCACTTGCAGCCTCATCGTTGCATCAGGGGCTGCGTCTGTGGGTAATCAGGGACCCTGCTCAGACATGTCTCCTCCTTGACCATTTTCAGCCTTTCACCGACACCAACAAGCCCGTATCTGGAACAAAGCGAGGCCATGCTGCCTGGCGACCTTGCAGACGGAGCAAGCAGCTGGGTCCACACCTCATACAGAGCCCTGTCCAGCGTCTGGAGGCATTTATCGACATGAATCCTCTCGCTTCTGAAAAGTGCAAAGGCACTGGGAGTGCAAGCCATTCCATTAAGAGACGGGTATGACTACCAGGGAAGCGGAAGGAGAGGAAGCAGCAACGAGAGTGAGAGAATGACAGCTGGGGTGGGGCTCAGCAGGAGAAGGAGGAAGTGACGGAGGAGGCACCTCTGGGGTGAGGCTGGACTGGTCCCCACGGAGATGCCCACTGGCCGCCCGCGGGTGCTGGAGGTGAGCACACCTGCTCCAGGCAAGGACTCAGTGTGGCCCGAGCCGCCCTCCTCACGTGCTCAGGCCCCTGGGACCTCCCAACCATCCAAGGGGGCAGCGAGGGTGTGAGGTGGGACCAGAGCTGCCAAGGACCCCCGCAACCCTTGCTGAGAAGAATGAGAAGGTGCGGCTTACCCGTTTCAAGGGACTTCCACGTCGTGGGAATAAAATGTATAAAACTACAAAGAGACTGTCCATGCGTGCAGGGGAGAGGAGGAGGCCTGGTTGTAAACTTAGAAGGCGCTACTGTGGGTTTGAGGTCCTCAGGTCACCCCGGATGCCTTCACCGGGGGTTCGCAGGCTCTCAGCAGCCCACCTGCTGCTGGAGGAGCTGCTGTAAGGGACCTGGACTCCTTCTGTCCATAGTCCTACCTCATCTCTTGAGTGGAAGTCAATCTATAGCATCCACGTTTACCTGCGTTAGGCGTCAGTACTGTCATGCGTGGACACAGCCACGGGGGTGCCCCTGAGGTGGGCTCAGGGTGGCCCTTGCCCTTCAGCACACTCAGAACACCTCAGAATACTCTGCATTCTGTTCTGTGCCCAACTCACACGGCCTCTGCCAACACAGCTTCAGCCAGCCCCATCCCTTCCTGATTCCCCGGACCCTTCCCTCACCGCAGCCTCTCCGACTCACCCCTGCTGTGCTCTTCTGGGCACCCCGCCCCCTGCCACTGCAGGGCCTCCACCTATCCTGTCGCCAGTGCTTGGGTGTGAGCAGGGGGCAGCACAGGGCCCTTGGAGGGGCTGCGTCCCTAAGAAGCAGGCCTCCCACCCTTGGCCTGGCCTTGGCCTGGCCCACCTGCCTCAGCCCTGCCAGGCTTGGGTGCCCTCTGTGGGAGGAGGAGAATTCTGGATCTGGAGACCAATGGCAGCCGCCAGCCAGGTGCTCCCCACACGGCCTGGCACAGATCTGGGTCCATATTCCTGGGTAAGTCCTCCCATTCCTCCTGTTGTGGGGTTTGGGGGCCTCTTACCTTTGGGGTGAGGTACTTGGTCATAATTTCCTTCCCTTTTTTCCCCAGCTTTTCATCTGGAGTAACTTCATATTCTGCCTAAAACAGAAGGAAAAGAACAATAACAGATTTGCTCACGAGCTTCTTACAGTTACAGAACCTTAGAGGCCCCTGGAGAGGACCCCCTGGAGGTCACCTGACCAACGCCCTCCTTCTGCAGGGCAGGAGCTGAGGCCCAGAGAGGGGAGGAGCCCTGATGCCCAGTCCAGCCTGCCCTGCCCCATCCTGGACACTGGCTTAGAACAGCACGTCTTCCCTTGGGCAGTGCGTTGGAATCACTGGGGAGAAAATGCTGTGCTCAGGCCCCACCCTGCACCAGCGGGGTCAGACCCTCTGGCGATGGGGGCTGAGCACCCAGGCAGCTGGGGTTGAGAATCACCAACTTAGATATATCAAAGGACTCCACTGGAAAACAGAGCCACCAAACGAGAAGGCCCTGGAGAGGCTGCCTGAGGTCACTCAGAGCTTACAAGCTGCGTGACCTTGGACAGTTTCCGCTGTCCATATAAAATGCAGATGGAAAAAGCACCTACATGGAAGGCAACTGTGCAGTGAGAACGTGATAAAGCCAGGCACATGGTAACTACTCAATTAACAGTGGCCATAATTATCACCATTGTTACTACTGCACTGTCCAAGAGAAGACAATCATACGGATGCTGTACCTTTTACAGCTTTTCAGCTTATAAAGTGAACATATGGAGATTTTTCAGATGCTCATCTGAACCTCAAAAAGAGCCCAGGTAGTGATGTCAGAGGGCAGGGGCTGCTGGTATAACCCTTCATCACATATGGAGAGTGGGAGGTTCAGCAAGTTGCCCAGGGTCATTCAGGGGGAGGTGGCAGGGCTGGGACTTGGACTTCTAAGCCTGAAGCTCTTTCTCAACAACACCAAGGAGCTTAGGATCCAGATCGCTGGCCAAGCCAGTGGGATCCAGGGGCTAAAGAAGTGCAACCTTGAAAGACAGGACTGTAGTATTTTCCTTGAGCCAAGAGGGGCTCCCTCACTCACATCTGATCCACTTGCCAAGTGGATAAAAGGCCTCAAGGTAAGGAAAAGCCTGGGTGAGCTTGCCTTTCTCATTTAAACAAGAGAACTAATTGCAAATTGTTTATAACCATTTCAAAATCCACCACCCAAGGATTTGTCAGCCTCGGTCCAAAAGTACAGCTATTTCAAAAGAGGAAATGACATCAGCACAAACAGACTGGAACTCCCTCCCAAGCCCTCTCACTGTGGAGTCAGACCCTCCAGCCCTCCTGGTCTGGCTCAAGGCAACCTCTCAACCCAGAGTCTAGGGTCCAATTTCTCCCCAGACCAGCCCGGAAGACCCTCCCGGGCTGGGGCTGCATCACTAAAGGGCCTGGGGGTTCTAGGACACAACTGCCCACCCGTTTTCCAGGGTGAGGAGAGAAGCTCCCAGTGTCCAGCTGCCCTGGAAACCCCGCCTGGTGGTCTGGCACCGCGGGAAGGTACCCAGACTGTTTTGCAGGGCCCAGGCCACAGGCAAATGGCCGACCACCTTTTGGGGTAACTCGGTCCCATGCAGAACCCTGGATTCGCACTGTCCCAAAATACCTCTGTAAAGGCGGCTCTATTTAACCAACTGGAGGCCTGAGGCTCACTGATCAGCCTCAATAACCAGCTGAAAATATTATTGCTCTGGGTACTAAAACCCACGTTAAAAAAATAACATCACTTTCAGGTCAGCTGCCTCCCAGTAGAGGCCAGGCTGGGCAGCTGGGCGCCACAGTTCCACAGGGAGGCAGCCAGGAGCACGCGGGGACAGGCATCCCCAGCCCGGGATCAAAAGGCCTTTCTTTGAGAGTCCATGTCAGGTCACCACCACTTGAAGAGCATTTGTGTTGGGAGGCAGAAAACCAACAGAAGGCTTCCAGCTGGGCTTTCCACACTGATTAAGTCACCTGGAGTGACAGGCCACGTCTCCACGGTGACCCCCGTGAGGGGCTCATGGGGGACCCGTCTGAGAGGCCACCTACAGAGAGAAGGCACAAGGGTGGCTCGGCTGTGCGGGCAGAGCTCAGGCAGATCACACGACCCGAGGCGGGGGGACCACCCGGGAACCCACTGCTATGGGAACACCCTTGCCCAGGTAGCGGGCAAAAGCTGCTGAAATCAGCTTAAACCAGAAAACATAAGCAGCAAATAAGAGGTTGCATTGGGCCAACAGCCGAGAATTTTACAATTAGGGTTGGCTCTGGAAATGGCAGCTAGACAACGATTTCAATGAACAGAGAGGTAAACCACATGCAGGGGTGCCCCCGCGATCTACCCCCCGTAAGAGCTCCCCACAACCAGAGAGGGTGGTGGGCTTGGCCCCTCCGCCAACAGAGGGGCACACACTGCCCTCCCTGCTGTACTGCCCATTTGAAACCTTCTCCTGCCCAGAGCTCAACCCCAGTAGCCAGTGCCAACGAGCTCCTATGCCAATCCACTCAGAGGGTATTTCTCTTCCCCAGATAGATCCACAGTGCCAACCGGGGGAGGCATTTAACGAGCCTTCTCTTTACACTGTGACTTATGCCAAACACAGGAAAGGCCTTTGGGGAGGAGATGCTGTAACACAAAGAGCAAAATACTACATTGGGTTTAAGGGAAAAAGAATGATTTATGTATCTGTGCCTGCCAATGAGTATAAACATCTGTGTACATCCTAGTTTATAAACCTACTATTTCATTCTCTTGGCCTGATCTGATTGCATCATCCATCTCAGAAAATGCTAATGAAAATATGTCCCTGCTATTAAAACACACTTGCCTCAGATGATTTTTTAAAATGTGAAGATTGGAAACCAGCACAAGGGGACTTGCCACGTTTTCAAAGAAGCCGGCACTGGTTCAAAGAGCAGAGTCTGAGCTGAATTCCTCTCGGCCTCTGACTAACTTTAGATGTCACCTCCTCCTCCCGGGAGCCCTTCTCCTGCCCCAACAGGAAGATGAAGTCAGAGTGGCTCTGAGGTCTTGCCACCTCCGGCTTCTGTAATTACCCATGTGGTCAGCTTTTCCAGAGTCCTCGTGGCGGGGACAAGTGACGCGCCTGGCTGGCAGCTGCTCACCGCGGCCCTTTCTGGAGGAACACCCAGCTCCACCCACATTGGCCTCGGCATCTTGCTTGTGCCAACCATGAGGACGGGGGTCTCCGTCTGCCCCTCTGGAGCCACTCTCCACCCTTCTGCAGGGCAGGCGAGTGACGGTGGGGAGTTACCTGCCGGCTCCCTCCCTGCCTGGGCATCGTGGGTTCCTGGACACCCCTCCTGCAGGCTCCCACCCATTCCTGTATCAGTCCCCTTCCTTGTCCCTGCAGAGCTAGAGGTGGTGAAGGTTCAGACGTAGCACATGGGCCAGTACTGATTTCCCTCCCTTGCCCGGCTCTCTGTCACCAGCCCTTCATACGTGAGTGAGCCATCCTTCTCCGGCCAGGACCCTCACTGATACCCTGAACAATCCCTCAGAGGGCTGGCACTGCCTGCCCTCTCCCAGGCCCCCAGCTAGAATGAAGAAGCACTGCAGATGGGTGCATCCCCAGGACCCCCGGGATCAGCCCCACAGCCTGTGCCCACCTGGACAGGCGGAGTGTTCTCTCATCTCTGTTTGCCGTACAAGGAGCCCTCTTGGGCCTGGGTCAGGAAGAGATTCCATGGCCCAGATTCAATGGAGAGAAAGAAGGGAGGGAGGAGAGGACCCCTGGCCACGTGGAGTACACACTGAGAGTGGCAGGAGTGACCCCAAGGCGGTGGCACCACAGCCACCAGCTTGAGAGACACATCCTGGGGTGGGTGAATGCGGAAAAGAAGTTAGGAGGGCAGGGTGCTGATCCTCTCCCCAGGGTGGGAGGTGACAGATTTACCAGCTGCTGCCAGAGTCCCACGGTGGAGGAGCTGTGCTCTCCCCTCCTGTCCACTCATCATTCTTCTCCCCAGAGCCTCAGCCCTGGGTGGTTCTCCACACACCAGCCCCACCCCCCACCCCGGACCTGCTCCTCCTCCTCTCCCAGCTTCCAGAATACTTCTCTGTCCTCACTCCCCACCAGGGCTCGTAAGGTCACATGCAGAGGACTTTGTCTCTTCCTGTTATTCTTTTGGTTCTAAGTGAAAAGAATCCCAGCCTAGCCTGATTCAGTCAAAACTGCCATCTCTGGGCTCCTGGAATCCAAGGATGGGTTGAACAACCAAACTGTAGGGAAAGGGGAAATGCAGCCTGGCCCAGAGCACCAGGAACCAGAGACATGAGCGCTTCTGGAACCCACTCTCATCTCTGTGTGCGGCATGTGAATTGGCCTCATTCTCCTTTAATGCTGCCTGGCTTGCTCCAGTGGTAGGAAACATTCAGTCAACGGCCATGTTTTATTCTAAAGCCTCCTCTACCAGAGAAGGGCTTCCCTTTAAGTCTATAAATCCCAGAGAAAGAATTCATTGGCCTGCACTGGCTGACAGGCTCATCCCTGCTCCAATCAGCTGTGGTTTGCAGGTCAATCATGAAGAACATGGCAGCTTCTAGGAGAGTCAAGTTGTTTGGGAGTATAGATGGGGCACCCAGGAGCCTGGACAATCCCATAGATGCCCACTATATGAACTCATATTAAGTGGTACTTTTTCAAGATGACCCTGCTCCCAGGGTCTGGCTCTACTAACTCTTCTGCGGGTCTCTATGTCCATGTAAAGAATGATTACCCTCTACCCTCCTTCTTTTGGGAGATCACAGCAGTGACAGAAAGACAAGAACAGATACTAGGCATGATTCAAAAATATGAGAAACAGAATACTTAGTTCCCCTGGTGAGGCACCTCAAATCATTTTACAATAAAATTTCAGGATAACCAGGCATGTCTAAACCAGGTGATAGCCCACTAGTTTCAAGCGATTTTCCATAGTCTGGGCTAGTGAATGGCTTGGAGTGCTTTTCATTATTTCCTGATATGAAATTCCATTTGTTGTAACCTCGTATGTGTAGTCACCAGTCTCCAAGATGGACCCCTTAATAATCCTCGCCTTCTGCTACTCATGCTCTTGAGAATGCT